TCTACAGTTGGGACTTCCTCAGAAAGCACTTAGGGTTCATCTCAACAATCAGTGCAGGACAGCTGCATCTGTGTGTGAGCGGCACCTGCTGCCCTGAGACCCGACACCATCCTGGGGGAGAAGCCAGGGAGTGGCAGCAGGGAGCGCCAACAGCAGCAGAATTTCTATAGTTAAACGTGGTGTCCCCCCTTCCAGCCATGTCAGCACTGAGGCATAGCAGCTGTGGAAATCTTTCAGCACCACGTACATTCCATCATTGCAAACAAGCCTGCTCCTAGGGTCCACTGAATAAGCATAGAAGGACTTGTCTGAAGCCACGTAGTACTTGCCCACATGGGAAGCTTGTGGTAAGTGACAACATGCTCTTCCCCACAAAACCTTCCCAATGAAGACACCAAGGCCCAGAGACATTGGGAGCAGCCAAAGCTCTCTGCAGGCTCCCCGCATGCACCGTGCAGAGACCACACAACTGGCGTGTTTGGTGTTCTCAACAGAGCCGGAAGGAAGGCACCATGATTAGCCTCATTTCACGTGGAAGCTGAGGTTAGAGACATCACGGTCATTGCCAAGACCCAGCTACTGCTAAATTCCCAAGGGAAAAACTCAACAAGAAAAGGTCTGATTGAGCCAGAGTCACAGGGCAGGGGTCAGGGAACTGCAATGTCTTCACACATCTCACTCAGCAGAGCTGCCCAAGTCTGCGCTGTGACTTCTCTGGGTCTCCTTCCTGCCATGCTGCTGCACTGTCTGCCTCCGGGGCCAAACGGGATGCAGCTGGGGATAGGCCACTGGCTTCTCCAGGTGGAAGTGTTGTCATAAGATTAAAGGAAGAAAAGCTGCAATTGAATCAGCTCAGAACATTGAGAGTGTCCCGGGGTTGAGCCCATGTTGCTCTCCGCAGTTCTCCCCTGGGCTCTGGGCTCAGAGTTCTCCAAGGTTTCCTTGAAGCTGTGTCTTTTTTCTCTTTTAGAAAAAAATCCTTTTGGCCACTGTGAACAAGCAGTGTTATTACTCCACTGGCTCTGCTCTGTGTGGACACATTCTCTCCCTGCAGCCTGTGGAGCAGACACGATTGTCACCACCTTGGGGATGAGGAGACCTAGCCGGGAGGGAGAGGCCGGAAGCCATAGCGCAGGGCTGCTGGGTCCTCACCCTCTGCAACATGGAGACAAAAGCCTTCCTACATGGCAAGTCTCAGGCCCTTCCGCTGGGGGCCCCTCACAACTCCTTCCTCACCCTCAGGTGTCCAAGTGGTGAGGTTGGCTCTGCCTGAGGGCCCACATAGGGTCTTCTCCATAGTGCCTGTGTGGACCTGTGACCTCGAGTGTGAGCCTCGGGCGCCACCTCTCAGCCACTGCACTTCCCAAGGTCAGCCTCGTCAACTCACTGTGACCCTTCTACACAAATGTGTCCTGCCTAGGGTTATTTTGGTTAACTGAAGAGAGGCCTATCTGTACAAGCCACATAATGCTGAAGCATTTATTTATTAGATTTAAAAGGCAACTTTTTTTTAAAAAAGGCTTGAACCTGTGGCTCAGTGAGTAGGGCGCTGGCCTCATATGCCGGAAGTGGTAGGTTCAAACCTAGCCCTGGCCAAAAACTGCAAAAAAAAAAAAAAAAAAAAAAGGCAACTTTCTCTGGGCTAAGAAGTAAATAGTTCCTTCTGCCTCAAACTCAGCTTCCATCAAGCGACTTCTTTCCAGCAACCCAGCGGGAAAGAATTTAAAAACTGTCTTTGGAGGACTGGGGATGGCTGTCTTGCCCTTTGTCTCATTTTAAATGATCAGTCTACTTCTTCAAGAGTTTTCCCTTCACTTTCTTCTAATGTTTTTATAGTTTCATGTCTTAAATTTAAGTCTTTAATCCAGTGAGAATCTATCTTAGTTAGTGGTGACAGGTGTGGGTCCAGTTTCAGTTTTCGCGATGAGAGTTTTCCAAACTGCATATGGAAGTAACACACTGTATCCTATGATAGAATTAATGTACACAATTATGATCTAATAAAAATTTTTTAAAAATTAAATGATCAGTCTAGTTTATAAGAAGGATAAGAACATAAATGTCAAAGAATTACCCTGCCCATCAGAAAATGTGAGGGGGAAGAAGGTGCTGGCAAAGTGGGCCATGTTATTCACCATCTAAACGTCACGGAAAGAGCTGGGTCAGTGATGAAATGGCACCAAGTCATACGTCATCTTCCTCCGCGTTTGTGGGACAACCAGATATGCAAAGGTTCCTTGTTCTTAAGAATGGCATCTGATTCTTGTAAATTAGTAGCTGATCTACTGAGGTTTAAGCTGAGAGCTGCTGGAAATTTGCCCTAAAGAATCCCACATTATTAATTGATCAAAACATATCCATCTCCCCACACCGCAGAAGGTGTAATCCCAATGCGAGCTCTCACACAAACGTGGAGAAGCACTGAGTGTAGCTGTGTTATCTGCCCCAGAATCTCTCATGCCAAACTGGCACAGGAAGAAGAGGGGTCGGCATGACACCAAGACGGCTTGTTTTTAATCCACTGCTTGTGGCAGGTAAAAGCTCCAGTGTCAGAGGTACAGCCAGAGAACATGCTGCAAGAAAATAACTCAGTGCAAAGAAAAGCCTGACCGGGAGTGACAGGGCTCCTTGTGTAGGGTATAGATACCAATCATTCCATCTGTGGTTTCCTTTCTCTGCGTCAATGAACACAGGGCTTTGGGGAATACCAACATCCTTGTCTGCTGGAAAGTCACCGAGTGCTAAGGAAACAACTGATTTGAGAGGTGTCTCTTCACCAGGGAGTGGTGGCTGCAGAGAGGGACGAGTCCCGGACAGGGAGTAGGCACACACGCCAGCTCTGAAGGTCCCCAGGCACTGCACACAGCTCACTCTGAGGGTGACACTCAGGCATCCCCAGGGAGGAGCCCTTAGGGGATGGAGGCGTGTCTCTCCTGCCCCAGACCAAAACTACCCATGGCAAGCCACATGGTGCCAAGAACACCATGAGAGGGAACTCAGGGTAGAGAAGGGGGCCTCGCACAGGAAAGCACCACACACATGCACCAAAACACACACCACACACACCATATACGCACCTCACACATTTACACACCATATGCACACATGACACACACACCATATCACACACCACATGCACAACACAGCAGACACCACACCCCACACACTGCATATGCGACATATCACACACTGCACACCATACACAGCACCCACACATCACACCCAGTAACACACAGCACACACACAACACACCTCACACACCACATAACATACACAGCACACACATCACACACAGATGCTATGCACACACAAGACCACACAACATACAAAACACACACACACACACACACACACAGTCTCCCAGGGGAGGGACCACTCCACAACACAGATCCTCGGCGGAGGGGGGGTCCCAGTGAGTAATAGCTGTCATGACGATTGGTTTGTGTCACAGAGTTGTCCAGGGGACTCACTTTAGTGCTAACAGAGCAAAGCACAGCCCTGAGGCCCTGCTGCGAGGTGTTTTTTGTGAGGCCTGTGAGGCCTGAACCCAAAGACACAGACGTCCACAAGGAACTCTGGTCCTAGGGACAGGAGCCTGGGGATAGAGACACAACAGAGAGTTTCACTTAGGCAAAGTGGTTTGAAATGGGCTTGTCTTGGAGAGCTCTAGAGGAAACGGGGTCAATATTTTGGTGTGCCTAAAGTTTCAGCTGCTTACGATTTATCTAAAAATACAAATAAGGTTCAATGTATCATTTTTACTTATTTTTCTATGACACAGATTTTTCAACACTTAATTGGTACACGAAATACCTAATTCTGTCATAAGCAGCATGTTATTCTAAAATTCGGAGAGATTACTTAAACTGATTAAGACAGTCCCTTCCATAATCTCATTCAAGAGTGGCCCATGTTTTGGTTGCACATCACCCAGAATCCTGATTAGGTTTGACTTGTTTCTTAATGCAGTTACATTAAGGAATGCTATACATAATACAAATGAATAAAATAAGCAACTGAATGAGACCTATGGATTGGCCTTTGATTTTAAATTTGTTCTTATAAACTCTGTCAATAAAAATAAATCTAAATAAAAATAAATAAAAAATAAAAATACAAATGAGGTCGATGTATGGCGGAAAATAGTCTTAAGTTTTAATTTGGCTTTAATACTCCATGTGCAGGTGAAGCTCAGAATGAAACATTCCTGCCCAGCTGCCGTGCACAGCAGGGTCTGACCATGAGGCAGGCCTTCTGCACCAAGGAAGAGGTGCCCAGACCACCCACACCATCACCTCAAAGCAAAATTATTACATACATGCACTGCACATATCTGCACCACCCAAGGGCACACACTGCAGGGTGTGCAAGCAGCCAGCCAGATACAGGCCTCTTTTTGAAACACTGTTTCCATCACTTGAAAAAAACACAAACTTGTACAGAACAAAGCATCAAATGTTGGCTTCCTTGTAAGACAACCTGAGAAGCATGGCCAGCCCGTGACTGGCTAGGTCCAGAAGGTTTGAGTTAAGATGGAAACGAGAGCAGGGCAGAGCACCCAGAGGCTGGGCAGCCAGTCCTTCCCCATGTGGCCACTCCTACCGTGATGTCTGGACGCTTCCATGTGAAACAGACAGAGGCTGCATGTAGCACAGTCACTGCCAGGTCACATCTAGCACTCGGCGTTTCTCACTCCTGTACCAGGCTGTCCATACCTGCCCCAGAGTCCCATAGCCACACCTGGACCCCCAAATGGGGCTCTGAGCAGCTGGCCACAAGTGGCCAGGAGCCCAGGCAAGACCCCGTCTGGTTGGTTTTGTTTAACTGCCCAGGGGCCAAGCTCAAGAGCCCTGGGGTTGTTAGCAACCAGCTCCCAGCTGCTGTCCCACACCAGAGAGTCTGGGGACATCCCACTCAGTTCTTTCAGCTCAATGCATTGATGAATAACAGCATCCCCTGTATCAAGGAGGCCCCCGGAGAAGAGGCAGGGTGCTACTCACTCGTGGTCCGTCAGGATGTAGCCACAGTTGTCCTCCTCTGATGTCTGGGCTTCCAGCTGCAGGCCTGTGTCAAGGGGCTCCCGCACTCCTGCCTGAGGAGCTGCGTCCTCCAGAGTCCCCGGGACCCAGCTTTGGAGCTCCCTGATTCCGTCCTCCGCGAGCTCCGAATGAGGCTTCCTCTCCAGCAGGTCTTTGGAGTATGTCTGACTCCGGACATTTTCCACTCCAGCCTCCTCCTCTTCCGAAGACAAGGAAGCCTCAGGGTGGTCTGACTTCTTCATTTCTGTTTGGAAGGACCTGGCAGGGCTAGGGGCGCCAGGCACGAGTCGAGCCCCAGGATCCCGCAGTAGATCCCCAAGTGTGGCGCTCAGATGAGTGACCTGCAGAAAGGACACGGCTGTGAGAGGACGCCCATGAGAGAGCACCAGACACACAGCACAAGGGGACATGTGGGCAAAGTCATCATGTGAGATGAAGACGGTAACTGGAGATGAAAACTCCAGTGAAGGGGAAGCTCCCATCGTCTGCTTGGATCCTACAACAACAATGCCACGGTGCACTGGGTAGCTGGGTCTCTGGGACTGTGTTCTCTGCCCACCCCTCCCTCACACACACTTGCACACACATCTTCCTTAAGAATTAGACTCTGCAGAGATAACCTGGGTGATATCAAGGTTACCCTTCTAGAGGCAATGAACACCTAATTCTAATAATTCGTGCCAATAATGCATACAAATAATTTGCATGTGCTGGTCTTTTAACTGTGGACAAGACACTGTGCTAACACGTCATGTGCAGAAACATACTGAGTCTCCTGGTAGCCCTGAGCTGGGAGCCATCTGTAATCCCACATTGTAGGTGGGAAAACTGAGGTACAAAGAGATCAGCCCACGAGTGGGCGCATCACAGGGGCAGCTGTGCCCCTGCCCCATGACATCTCGGGGTCTCTGTCCTCACATGGACAACATCCACCCCACCCTGACTTCCATTTCCTGGACATTCAGTGAGGGCCAGACAGGGACATAAACTCTCAGCTACGACACTCAACACAGACAATGTGTCAGATGCTGATTTGTGTTGTGCTGGCCTCTCAGTTAACTGGCCCCCAGCCCCACAAAGAACGCGCTAGTAGTGTCCTAACTTGTGGGCTCGGGCTCATGCCAGGTCACAGGTCAGGGCTGGAGGTTAAGGTCTAAGTGATGAAACAATGCCGTCCCCCCATTTGACTGCACCCCACTTGCAGACACCCCACTCTGCCCGAGAAGGGCGGGCCACTGGGCACCCTCAGCACCTGCCATGGTGCAGTCTTGTGCTCATGAAACCAGTGTCCAGTGTCACAGTCAACAGAAACAAGAGAATTAGATGTATGTATAACTCACGTTACCAAGACACATTGTCTCAGGAAAGTAAGGTAGGAATGAATATAAAGGAGATGATTCCCTTTTTGACTAAAGGTTATAATTTTCCTGTGGTGTTTTTGAATATTTAAACAAAACAGTTTGATGGAAACAAGTACTCAGATTTGGGTCCTGAATTAACAACAGTATATAGCATTTAAGTTACTAAGTAGGGCTGGGAAAAGGAATAATATTCTCACTTAAGTTGTGTTTCACATTGGGAAAGAAAATGAAGGTGTTATTAAACAAATGAGGGCTGGAAAAAGACAACACTCAAATACCCTTTTTGAAAAAAAAATTGCTTGAAAACACCCCAAACAGAAGAGAAATACATGGAAGTTCAGCACACCAAGGATGTGAGGCTGCACTGGGCAGTCTTCTCCTTCTGGGAAATCAGGAGCCCAGCAGCCGAGTTCCTGAGAACACCTCAGGCTCTGGGGTGGGCGTATGGGACTGCTGCCCTAAGTCACAGCCAAAGCTGACCCCTTGTCTCTCAGGACATGGGACCCTCACCCACCTTCTCCTCCACAGTCACAGCCATCCCCTTGTCTCTCAGGACACAAGACCCTCACCCACCTTCTCCTCCAACAGCCACGGCCACCCCCTTGTCTCTTGGGACATGAGACCCTCACCTGCCCTCTCCCCCACAGCTCAGAGCACGCTGCCATTTATGGGAGACACTCGCATGTCTTTCTGGTCCTGCTAGCAGACACTTAGCCACAAGCCATCAACGTAACCAGATAAGAGAATTAATAACCACAGATTCTTACTTTCCTCTCCAAAGAAGAGTTTTGTAGAACCAGACAACATTCTTGTCATTGCTCAGGAATTGAGTTTCTGTGTCTATAGACTTGTTTCAATGACCAAAATATCTTAAATAGGAAAAATTGACAACTAACAAAATCAGGAGGAAAGATCAGTATTGGGGTGGATCCCGTCTGTAGTGGAGCTGGCTTCCCAACTGCCTTCCTAAACAGCCATGCATGGCGGAGCCTCCAGTGACGGGGCCGCCCCTCCCATGCCATCCAACGCATCAGCTCTTGTTAATGGGCACCTGACTTGTGGCCAGCGGCTGCCATGTGGACAGTCCCAGGGTGCACATTCTGTGTTAAACGAACATCAGGTATCAAGCATGGAAAACACATACCCGGTGTCAGCATTCCGTGTCATCGTTTGATGTCCCTGTACAGGGAAATTCTAAAAAAATACTAACTTCCTTCATTATAGCAGACATAGTTTTTATGTTTCTACAATGGATAAATTATTTATAATTAAAAATAGATGTTATCATGTATCTCAATACACAGTACTATATTTATTTCTGGTACCGCTTTTTAAATTTTGGGATTCTGAAGGTTTTTGCCTCCTTTTCTGGAAGAAAAAAGATCCTTTGTATTTCATAAATGTGGCCATTCCAAGAAGAGAAAGATCAGAGAGGTCCTGTCTTACCTCTTCGTAAGGGCTGTCATCGTAGTCGGGCACTCTACTATCTGCAAAAGACACCAGCATTATCAGAAGCCTAGGCACAGGGAGTCATGCCACGTAACATGCTAGCCACTCCAAACCCTTCTTTTCAGAAGGCATACTGATGTGGCTTAACGTCTACCATGAGGTGAACCTTTCCTTACAGTACACAGTGGGGTCCTGTGAGCTTCATGAAAGAGGAGGGGGCTTCACAGTCACAGGCAGACCTGGAGTCAACCATGGCTACAGCCCAGCCCTGAGGCCCTGTAGCCAGCAGTGGGCAGCAGGCACAGGGAGGCCACAGAATGTGCCAGCAGGCTACTGTGGTCCCCTTCACTCTGTAAGTAAATTTCCCACCCACAATGCCCAGATGGCACAAATCCTTGCACTCTCCTCAGCCTGAACAGTCACTGCTGGGGACACCGTCACACTGGGCACCTTTCCCATCCTGCCCTGCCCTGGTCCTGCTCATCCTCTGCTGTAACACAGTCCCGCTGCCCAGCACGCACACACACCCACACACACACTCTCCATGGCTGCCATGAGGCCGTGGTGCCAACTCCCAGATGAGAGGGCACAGGGTGAGTCTAGAGCACCAGGCTGAGCTGGAGGAGTTTACATGGCCCAGGAACTTGAGAGCATCAGTGCAGAGCGTCGGGTATGAGACCCAACTCCGGTTCCCACTGTGAGGGCTGTAGGCCACGCTTTCTGCCTCCCAAGCTGGCAGCCTCAGAGCCTGGGTGTGTGCCTGAAGCAGATGTATATTCAAATACTTGACAGTACTCCCTCACATGATCCAAATGAAACCATTTTCCATCCTTGCTACTTCTTTCTAACTCTGATCCTCAGCACAGAGGCAGAATCAAACCCCTGCACACAGGGCAATTTGCCAGTCAGTGTCATTGCTCTGTGAGGCACAGTCTGCTGAGAAGCTTTTACAGGCAAAAGTTCAAAGAAGTAAAAATCATTAACACAAACTCCCTCCCCTCAGCAAGAATACATCAAGGACTACCTGCTGACCTGCTGCACCCTCCCCCTGGCTGCACCCTCCTACCCCACTGCACCCTCCCCCACCCACTCCACCCTCCCCACCCGCTGCACCCTCCCAACCCCACACCCTCCCCACCCGCTGCACCCTCCCAACCCCCACACCCTCCCCACCCGCTGCATCCTCCTGCAGGGCTGCCCTGAGTGGGAAGCACCCGTGGAGCTAGAGATCACCTTGCAGGCTGTCTCTGGGGAGGCCTGGCTCCGGGCCATGTAGCTGCTCTTCAGCTCCACCCCAATGTCTTGCTGCACCCACACCTCCAGCCACTCCAGTGGTTAGGCCAGGTGTCTCATTGAGCTCCAGAGGACTCAGGCTCTCAATGTCCACCTGGTGCCTCCTCAGGTCTCGCAGGAGGCTCTGCATCAGGGCTCCTAGGGGGAGACACACGTGTGTGCCGTGGACTGATGCAGGGGTACACGCACAAACACACATGTGCTATTGGCTGGTGTGGGGCACATGTACACACACATGCCATGGGCTGGTATGGGGCATACACACACTCACACACACATGCTATGGGCTGGTATGGGGCATACATATACTCACACACACATGCTATGGGCTGGTATGGGGCATACACACACACACATGCCATGGGCTGGTGTGGGGCACACACACACACGAACACACTGTGCTCTGGCCTAGTGTCTCTGAGGGAACCTCAGCAGCCTGCAAGGCAGTACAACCCACCACGCGCAGCCCAGTGCGGGTCATAGCAGTGGCGTTACAGCCCCTGGTGCAAGCTGTGCTGTCCACCCCCGGTCCCAGAACACACCCTGGCCCCAGCCCACTCTGCCGTGTGTCCTCCTGCGGTGAGGGCTGTCTCTGGGTTGACATGCACTCATCACAGGGGCAGGAGACAGCGCTGTGGGTCAGGTCACCTGGGCCTCACTGACTCTTCAAAGATGAACCCCAACAGCCTATCGTGAGTTCTTTGAGTGAAAAAAAAAGTACAGTCACTGTCACCTATTAATTGAAGCTCTTGCTACAGTGCTATAAAGAAATATTTACTCCCCTTTCTGAACACTGCTGTGCCCACCTTCCATCTCTCTTGCAGAAAAGGGTCACTGTTGTGGTGGTCCTGCCTTCCCTATTGGAAGAGCTGAGCCCTCAGTCTGCACACAGGACTGAGTCCCTTCTGATTCAAAAGCCCAAGAGCCTCCTTCACTGGTGTTTCTGAGAACAACATAGTGGGGACTTCAGCAAGAGGTAGAGATGTCCTTTACAGACTATGCACAAAGATGTCTTGCCCTCAGTCCAATCCCACACAGCCTCTGAAACTCTCCCAACACAACAGGGCTTCCTTGCCCTACTGGCCTCAGTGTCCTATTGACTGTGTGCTCTTGTGTTCTGACCTGGGGCTGCAATGACCTGGAGGGCTCTTCATGCCCAAACCACTGGCCAGAGCATGCCCCCACCTCCTCTCCTGGGCACTACACTGTCCTACCCCAGGCACCCACAGCAGAAACCAGAAGTTGGGGTCACTGGAACTGACCACACTGGCCAGGCCTAGGCCTGCCCCCTGCCTCTCCTGCTCCCTCTTGTTAGAGCCACACCCAAGGCTCTTGCTCATTCCCCATACCCCTTCCTCTGCCTTCTGACCCTGCTTCCCTTGTGACCCCTGTGGCCCCCTCCTCTTGGGTCTGTAACCACCTGCTCCCTAATGGCAGTCATCTCCTAAAACTCTGTGGAGTTCCCTGCAGAAGGAAATCCAGAGGTCTGTGCAGACACTGCCCCCTTCTCTACATTTCCACTGGACTTGAGCCTTGTGGGGGTCAGCCCCCTGTCTCTGTACCCTGAGCCCACCCACTCCCCACATCAACCCTGCCACATGCTCACTGACTACCTGCTTTCACGAATAACTTCCAGTAGCAAATATGGAAAAATATCTCTTACTTTCTTATAAAACAAAAGCATGCCTAGAACTATAGGAAAGCACCCTGCCCTCCACACTGCCCACTGGCACCCAGAGGCTGCGGGTTGGAACAAGTCCATGCCAGCTGCCCAGCACCCTCATCAGGCTGACACAGGTGCCTGTCATTTCACAGGGGGACAAGAGTGTGCTGTGGAATGGGTGTGCCTGGAACGGGTGTGCCTGGCACAGCCATGCTGCTGACTGGATAGTCGTAGCATCACTCCGCTCTCTGGAAGCAGAAGACACCACCTCAGAGCCACAGTTGAGCCCTGAGCCATGAGGCCCAGTACCCTAGTTGCCGCTCACCACAACCCATACCTTCCTCCTCTGGAGTGGGTTCCTCAGCCAAGTGCACAAAGGGCTAGCTCAGCCTCAAAGAAAATGGGAACCACCAGGCCTGGGTGGGGCTGGGGGCAAGTATGGGGTAAGTGTGTGGCCACAGTGGCCCCAGTGGCTCTAGCACATACCACACCACCTCTGAGGCACTCATGGTGAGGGGACAGACCATGACCCCCAGAGATCACGGCCAGGGCCCTATTTGAGGTGAGGCTGGGCTGTGTGTCAGGACGGCCAGGTGAGCAGCCAGTGCGAAACAGTTCTTCTGCAGAACAATGGCCAGTGCAGCTGCCCAGAGGCTGTGTCTCCTGGTGAGCTGGGCAGGACGACCCCAGGATACCCATGACTGGACCCTTCATGGGCAAAGCCTGTGACTTCGGAGGGGCTCAGGAGGGCAGCAGGGAATGGCTGGATGCTTCTAAGTGCCCTAGAAAGACCCACTTTCAAGTCAAACATCCCTTTGTGCTCCTGGAAAAGGAGAGAGAACACTGCCCACACTGGCTGGGAACAGCAGACCCACAAGCTGGGAGCCAGCTGCTGCTTCCCAGAGCCCCGGGCGGGACTGGGCCTCCATGCCCCCACAGCTAGAGTGCCTCAGGCACCCACCTCAGTGGGAGCAGGAAAACCCCGACTCCAGGAGGACACAGCAAGACCACCTGTAGCCCAGGAAGTGAGTGGTTTATCCATCTGGAATAGAGCTTCATCAGATACTTTTCAGCAAAGCCCTCGGGCATGTGGGAGCTGGAAAGGGGGTTGTGACATACTGACAACTAGCAGGAAAAAAAAATACTACGGCTTCTGAACAAGAAAGGTTAGATGTTCTGGATCAAGATTTCTAGTGAAAATGAATTATGTTTCATCATACTAGTCAACAACTACTTCTAAGAAATAAACTTATAAATGCCAAAGTTTAAAATAATGGTGTGTGCGAATGTGTGTCCATGCAGGTACATATGTGTGTGCATGTATATATGTGTGCACATGTGCTAAGCAGCTCCATTCAGAGTGGCTCCAGGACTACCAGAGTTATGTGTATGTGCACATATGTGCACATGTGTGTGCGTGTGTGCATGTGTGTGTGCACACGTGCTGGGCAGTGCCATTCAGCTGGCTATAGCTCCACCTGAAGAGCCTCAGCAGATGTGTCAAAAGAAAGATGACTATGAAACACCTCCCTTGAATTCCCAGCATGAGCAGGGCCTCCACTCCCAAGGGCAGGGTCTGCACTTCTGTTGAAGTTTCTTGCACTGCTCGAGGAAAAGGATGTGAAGTCTGTGTTTCCAGGTGTGAAGGATGTCACTGCTGTCACTGAAGGGTGGCACCCAGGGGCAGGACAACACATCCTGACAGGGCCCACTCTCCTCCTCAGACGACCTGCACAACCCCTAGGCCCACACATGCCCCCCGCCAGAGCACATGTAGCACAGACCTCCTTCCCGTCACAGTAAGGATTACGTCCTGGAACACACAGGTCACAGTAAACAGATGCTCGGCCACACACAGGGTTTGACTATGGCGTGAGTGTGAGGGACAGGGAGCTGCTGAGAATACAGAGCTCTGAGATGTGGATGGGCCCTGTGGTTGACCACCAAGGAAGAGCAGAGATAGACTGAGTAAGGGTGCTGCTGACTGTGGGAGCCAGAGACTCAGCTCCGGCTCAGACCCCACTGCAGAGACTCCAGCTGCTCTGAGCAGTGGCTACATGTTCACTTTCTCAGGCCAACAGTTCTAGATCCTGTAGGGTGTTTTTTTCCCCCTCCACTGGGCTATAGTGAAGGCTAAGACTGGGTTTATAAGAACATACTTAGAATTCCTGTCGGTCAAATTCTCAGTTCTTGTGACACAGTCCTTATACTGTGCCCCTGGGTTGCTGAGCTGGGCCCCCTATGAAGACAGGCCAGCAGCTCCCTGTAGGAGTGCACCGCTGCTGCTCAGAAGAGGCTGTGCTGTCTTCCCAAGTGACTCCACGGAGCTGAGCACTGATGAGCCACAAGCACAGACTTTGGCCCTTGGCATGGGTCCAGTCTGAATCTTGGCCCTGGCACCACAGGATGAGGACTTAGGCAAGTTCTGTGATGGCAACATCGCATCATGCCTCACTTTCCTTGTCTGTGATGTAGGGACTGTGAATCTCACATCCAGTGGCCTACATGTCCTAAGTGCCTAATGAGTTATGACAATTACCATGAACTGAGGTTAAGATGAGCTCTCTGCTCTCTTTCCCATTTCCAATCCACTCTCAACATAGACCTCTGGTTCTCCATAGCAAGCCTGGTTACAGCTCATTGCAAGCCTCAAGTGAGAAGCTAAGAACACACAGAGAGCCCCTTAGCTACCAGACAAGCTGACTACTGTCTCCTAATTTGCTCAGCATTCAATTTAAGATCACGCTTTATGATACTGTTCTTTGCCAAAGTATTAACCTACATTCAAAATGATGTGAACTATAGTCATCAAAGTTAGACACTCATCCTCATCCATCCACCTACCCATCTAGAGGAGCCATCCTTCAATCATTACCCACCCATCGATCATTCACTCAACCATCCATCCATCTATTCACCCACTTGTACAGACATCCATAACCTGTCCATTTACCCACACACCCATTCACCCAACCATGGACCCATCCATCCATTTCTCAACCATTCATCTATCCATCCATCCACCCATATGTTCATTCATAACTGTCTGTCTACCCATGCACCCACCCACCAAACCATGGACCCACCTGTCCATCATCCATTTGGCCATGCATCCACTCACACATCCACCCATCCACCCACCACTCACCTACCCATCCATCCATCTACCCATCCCATAGGTCAATCTATCCATCCACCCATCCATCCACTCATCCATAGACTCATCCACTCATCCATCTACCAACTCATGCATTTATTTCATCAAGTTATATTATAGGCCATTCGTTGTGATCGGAGCCTGTGAGCAGACATTGCTCTGACAATCACAGTTTAAGAGGTGCTAAATATTGTACCCTCACACACATCAGTTGTTTTGACTGTTGAAGCCAAAAAGGCTAGGTGAACAGATAATATAAGCAAACTTAATCTATGGGGCTAACCATTAAGACCCTAAAAAGAAGTTAAATGACATATC